AAGTAATTCACTGATGTGCTCAAAGCAATAGACTAATTTTTTTGTACTGAGCATTGAATCCAGGAGCACTTTACCATTGAGCTACATTCCCAGCCCTTTTTATTTTTTATTTTGAAACAAGATCTTACTAAGTTATCCAGGCTGGTCTCAAACTTTCTGTTTTTTTACCTCAGCATCCAAAAAGCTAAAATACAAGTGTGCACCACCAAGCCTATTTATGATTAATTTTAGCGGGTTATTTTATCAAAAACAAGCAAAAACCTAAATGAGAATAAAACAGACTAAGAGAACTTTATGGCAAATATGATACACAGAATATTAATATCCTTTAAAAAAGTCAATAAAAGTTGATTAGTAAAACTTAAGCTCTCAGTTGATAACAAGACTTATATCATGTAAGTTGAAATTTGTAGGAGGAAGGAACTAACAAAACCAAGATAATATGTAGCTTTAATAATGAAAATTTAATATTTTCATTTCTACATATTTTAAGCCAATTTTTAAAATGTTAACACATTTCAGACATGGTAGCACATATCTGTAATTTGAGCACTCTGAGTCTAAGGTAGGATAATTACAAATTTGAGCTCATCTTGCACAACTTAGAATCTTAGTGAAATCCTGTCTCAAAATACAAAAGAGTTGGGGATCATACAGGACAAGTGAAAATGGCATACCTTGTTACTGTATCCCTATTAGATGGGCTATTATAAGTATTTAAAAGACATCAAAGACTAATACTGTGAGTTTGTTAATTATGAGAGGAAAATCATAATTCAAGATTAAGATTACAGTAAAGTGCTTCAGAGTACAGGCTATGGTACCAGACCATATGAGTCTAGGATTCTCTTACTAGCTGTGTGTTATATAATTTATTTGTCTCTTTTTTTTCTCACTCTTAATATATGAAATATGAATAGGATCTATCAATACAGCTTAAAACTTTAACAGTCATAATGTGCTTAGTTTATAGTTATAAAATAATAAATGTTTTTATAATTATACTTTTTTGTACTATTGGTAATTAAACCCAGGATTGCTTTATCACTGACATACATCTTTAGGCCTTTTTTAATTTTTATTTTAGAACAGGATCCCACTGAGTTGCCCAGACTGGCCTTGAACCTGTGATCCTCCTATCTCAGCCTTCTGAGTTGCACCAGTCCTTCCAACTTAAATACACCCTTTTCTCCCATAGTAATGTGAAAATATACATGTGAAAAAAAGCCAGAAATAAGTTGTTTAAGGGTAGTATAATTAAACTGCCCTGGAATGAAACTTAGGACTTTAGGATTGCTAGGCAGACGTTGTGTCAAATCTTGTTAAAGACATGAAATGCATTAATGCTGGGCATAGTGGCACATGCGTGTAATCCTGGCACTCCAAAGGCTGAGGCAGGAAGATTATTGTGAATTCAAGGCTAGCCTGGGCTACATAGTGAATTCTGAACTGGCCTGAACTATGTAGTGAGACCTTGTCTCAAAAAATAAATACATAAATAAAATGAATTAACCCTTGGTTATCTATTAGAAACAGTAGACATTAAAATATACCATGGTTGGGGGCTGGGGATTTAGCTCAGCGGCATAAGCACCTGCCTTGCAAGCAGGCGGTCGTGAGTTCGATCCCCGGTACCGATAAAAAGGAAAAAAAAGACAAAAAAAAAAAAAAAAAAAAAAAATATACCATGGTTCTTGAAATTGATTGTTGAAAATCAGTTTTTAGGGGCTGGGGATTTAGCTCAGCGGCATAAGTGCCTGCCTTGCAAGCAGGCAGTCGTGAGTTCGATCCCCTGTACCGATAAAAAGGAAAAAGACCAAAAAAAAAAAAAAAAAAAAAAGAAAATCAGTTTTTATTTCAAAAGTTTAAAGTATTTGAATATCAAATCTTTCCCATTGTATCTATTTTAATTCTATTTCAAATAATATTTCAAACACAGTTTTTGTAATGTCTGGACAGATGTAGAGATACTTCAAGGCACTTGAGAAACCCATCTCCTCTTCTTATGATTTAAGTTGAGTATTATGATTTTGCTCCCTCTACTGGAGGAGGATCAAACATCTTATAGAGATCCTGCAAGAAAATCTCTAGCTTTGAACTTACTTCATTTATCCACTATCTTGTATGTAGACTTCCAATAAATTGTATTAATCACTTTGCCCATTGTATAATTGAAGTTATGAACCATAAAATTCATTAAATTTACTTTTTATCTTAATTTTGTTTTTCTAAGGCCAGTCATTATTTTAATTCATCTTTTCTCCCCTGTACTTTTCATTATCATCATAGTCTTTGCATCAAGATACATGTTAATCATAGTGATTTCTTTTTAAAGCTTAGTGTTACATACCTTTCCCATTTTAATTTTATATTAGTCTACCAAGAAAAAAATTTAAACTCAAATTATTTGAAGGCTGGACACGTTTCCATGATTAGCCAGGCTATGTAACAGTTGATGGCTTAATTCTTCCTACTGCATAAAGTAGATCTAGACCCTAGAGGGTGGAAATAGATTATAATTGTTTTTGAAAAGTATGCTACAAAGTGGATGGCTTATTATAAGCATGTTATAAAGTAAGGAGCAGTGTAGAAGTAAAAGAGGATCATTTTCTTTCAAGGAAAAACATTTCTGAAGAGTACCACTCTATAATTGTTTTCCCAAATGGTGTAAAATCTCAACATGAGCTTTACAGTAGGGTTTCTTTGAGGGACTAGTAATTGCCTAGTAAAGGAAGGGAGTGAGTATCTTGACCATCTGCGCCCTGGGGACTAGAAATGGAAAGTCTATTATCCAGTGGCTATGAAAGTAAGCTGAAGCTTGATTGGTACTGTACTGTCTAAGAGGTTTTTTTCTACAAGCAGACTGCTCATGTTCTTCTTACTTCACCAAAAAATTGTTTTTAAAGACACTTGGCAAGTTGTTCCTCAAGTAGGAAGGCTTAGAGAATTCTGGGCCATCATGGAATTCTAGAAGATTGGACAGTCTGTAGTAGTAGACAGAGGCTACTGTACCACTGGTCTGTAAAAAATCAGTGAAGACTGAAAGCATATGTCAAGTTTTCTAGAATGGAAATGTTCATGAATCTGAGCAGCATGAAGGCCATCTCAGTGATATACCTAGCCCACTGTGGTGGCCTTTACAAAGCCCTTCTCATTACTAAGTGCATTGTGGGCACAACACTCCTCAAGCCAAGACCCAGAAATACCTCTCTACTCTGCTGCTGCTTAGGAGTGGCATACTGGTCCCACTGTGGCACAATGATGGCAACATGCCTAAGGTACCAACTGTGGAGAGACAGATGAGCCTAGGCCATGGGAAGCAGAAAGGAGAAATAGAGCCAAGAGACAAAGCTTCTTACAATCAGTAGAGCAATCCCAGAATAGTCCAATTTGGAAAAAAATCTATGAAACTTTTCCTAGATGGCAGTAGAAAGTGTGGAAGATCCAGAACCTGAGGCAGAACACTGCACCTGAAAAGAATATCCCTCAAGCCACTTTTTCCTGTTGAAAGGCTATGGAGTACATACATGGTCAAATATTAGGGAAACCAAATAGATGGGGCCAGATGCTACTAGTTTCTGTGTCCATGCAAAAGATGCCCTTGAAGCAAGTCTAAAAGGGCATACATAGATAGTGTGTGACCATGTCCTTCAGCCATCAGGGAGCACATCAGTGCCGTTCTTCAGTCTAGCTGTGTTTGTTCTTTGACTTTGCCCTTGTTGGCAGTTACTCACTTGCCTTTTTCTTCCAGGAGGCGTACAAATTCAGCCAGTTCTACCCAGTCAGTTTCCTTGTTACTGGCAGGAGCTTCATTGCCTTTTACTACAAGTCCTTTGTGGGAACATACCTGACTGTACCTCAAAATCCTGTAGCTACAGATTGGGCAAAGATGGGGTCTCACAGCCCCAGGGGGCAGGGATCTTCCAGTGCTGGCAGACACAGAACTGTTGGGAATCAGGAGACGGTGAGAATCCAGTGCTGGCAGACACAGAACGGTTGGGAATCAGAAGACAGTGAGAATCTTTTTTTTTTTTTTTTTGTCTTTTTCTTTTTTTATCTGTACCAGGGATCGAACTCAAGGCCACACACTTGCAAGGCAAACTGCTTTTGCTGCTGAGCTAAATCCCCAGCCCCAGACAGTGAGAATCTTACATCCCATGCTTAGGTAGGATGCTATTTTGGAGACAGCCTGAATGTGACACAGTGGGAAGGTCTGGAGATGTTTATAGCCCTATAAGCTGGGTCCCTCCGGTGCTGCCTAGGTCAGCCTGAGTCTGTGTGCTGAAGCCCAGACCCTGTCCTGGAAAGCTCCAGGGAAACTAAGCACAGCCAAGGTCACCTGCTCTGTCTCATCATGCTGGAGACCTGTGGCTGAGTGGCCCCAATCAACATGATCTTGGATCTTAGGTGCCCTCCTCATGCCAGAAGGGGCACCTGTGTTTTGTTTTTTAACTCAAATTTTTCTATAGATGTTTTCCTGTCTTTAAAAAGTAGTAAAGACAGGTTGGAAATTTAAGTGCTATCCTAGTAGGCATCGGTTTCAATCCTTAGCACAGAATAAAAACTCAAATTCAGAAGGAATGGTAGTATAAATGGTAGTCTGTACTCGTCGCTTAGGGATACATGGTTATCTTTTTTTTTTTTTTTTTTTTTTTCCTAAAGACAAGGTTTCACTGTAGTCAGGCTGGCCTTAAACTTGCTATATAGACCAGGCTGACCTGAAATCCATAACCATTCTGTTGCCTCAGTCTTCCAAGTGCTAGAAGGCATATGCCACCATGCCTAGCATGTAAGAGAGATTATGAATTTTCAGACACATCATAGACAGTTTTTTAAAAATCAGCTTATCCTACACTGATAAATTAATAAAAATTTAAATCTCCCCCTTTTTGCTTCATAGTGTTCAACTTACTAACTACTTGGCTTTTGCTGATTGTTTTATTGTGACCAAAAATTTATAAAGGGTAGTGTGCTTGAATTACTTTGTTAACTAAGTCCAGTGCTTGCTTCAGCAGCAGTATTCTCAAATTAGAACAATACAGAGACCATCTGCATGGCCCCTATGCCAGGATGACATGCAAATTCATGAAACATTCTATATATTTTTTCAATCTGTTCTCAAGTTTCCTGTAACTTTTTTTTCAGTATTGGTGATTGAACCCAGGGCTCCATGTATGCTACACAACAGCTCTGTCCCTGAAGTTCATTCCTAGCCTTTAAATTTTTTATTATTTAGAGGTAGGGTTATGCTAAATTGCCAAGGATTCCCTTAAACTTGAGGTTCTCTTGCCTCAGCCTCCAGAGTATCTGGGATTACAGGTTCAAATTTCTTACATTTTTTAGTGTTAAAGGTTCAAATTTCTTATACTTTTTAGTGTTAAAAGTGATATTTGTAATCTTAGCACGCTGGAAGATTCTGGCAGTAGGATTACAAATTCAGGCCCAGGCTGGGCAATTTAGTGATTGAGCAAATTTGGCTGTTAGGGTGGGGGGTCAGTTTGATTGGCTTTGGGATCTGCTGGAGGGATTGGTGGAGCAGACTTCTGGGTGTGTCTGGGTGGGTAAAGAAGGCATGGCCCTGGGATCCTTATCTGTCCCTCGCTCCTTTCTCTGGCCCTGTTCCCCTGCTCTGCTTCCAGGCTTTCCTGAACTGAGCAGTTTTGCTCCACCATGCCCTTCTGCCATATTTCTGCCTTGGAGCCAGATGACCATGGACTGAATCCTTTTAAAATTGTAAGCCAAATCAAACCTCTCCTTCTTCAAATTGGGGATGTGGTGGGTATCTGGTCTAGCAAAGGGAAAGCTGACAAATGGAATCCCTGTCTGTTAACTTTTTTAAAGACTGAAAATGTAGCTCAGTGGAAAGGCCTTGGGTTCAATTCCCAGTACCACAAAAATGTGAGATTTGCGTTTTGTTTCTTGTGGTGGGGTAGAGGAAAGATGGAATGGTGGACAGGGAATAGTTAGTAGGTAATTATGTAATGGATTATCATTATGTAATGGAATATCATTTTTATATTTACTGAGTTGTAGGTCAAATAGCCTAAATATATGAAATTCGGATGGTTTAATCTGTAAAAATTATGATGGGTTTTGACAGCATGTAAGTTTTTTTTGCCCTTGAAATATTTGGCAAGTTCTGGATGGTTAGGGTACTATTAACTGACTCATATCAATAAGGAGTTCTTAAAAATTTGTGATGCCAAGCGCCTGCCTTGCAAGTTGCAGTCGTGAGTTCGATCCCCGATACTAATAAAGAGGAAAAAGACAAAAAAAAAAAAAAAAGAGAAATTTGTGATGCCTCTTCAGACAATATAGAAAGAAAATTTTGGGATTTTTAAAAAAATCAATTTCTGTAACTAATAACAATTTGAAATTTAATATAAAAGAATTTTAGAGATTTAAAATAATAGAATGGCATAATTTTTTTAATTCATAAAAAATAAATGAGCTATATTTTGTTATAACTTAAAAGTATTCTTTAATCTGCTGGTTGAGACATCACTGATTTTTAAGAACTCTAGAAAACAAGAATAAAGATGTTGGGTGGTAAAGGACTATTTCTAAGCTATGTTTTTTCTTGTTCCTCAATTGAAGTAGAATAATTGTAGATGTAATTTCAAATATCTTAGCATACCTTGATATCTTTTTTTTTTGAAGTCTTTTATCAGTTGTGAAAAAAATACTGATGAGATCACTTTTGATATACTTGACTTTGGAATTTAATTACTTAGAACTAAGTCTGATAGCAAGCATGAGGTCCTGAGTTTGATCCCCAATACCAAAAAAAAAAAAGTCTGAATGCCAAGGAGAAAGGCTTGCAATTTGGATAGCAAGTATTTCTAAATATTTTTATCTGCAAACAAGCTGGAAAATACTAGCTTATCCTCATTTCAAATTTTTAGAGCAAAGGAATTTTGAGAGAATAACACTGAAGTTTTCATTGCTTTCAAGACAAATGTTTTCTGCTTGTTTTATAACACGCTGTTTAAGTTTTGGCATACTTGTCAAGTAGAAATAACATGGAGCATTGTGTGATCTTTTAGTGTTTATAGGTTTAGTAAAGAAATTCTATACCAGTGAATTATATAGGATGGGTCTGAACTAGCAATCAAAATAGGAGCTAGAATGCCTTGCTGGCATTTTTATTCCAATGAAATTTTTTTAATAGTTCAGAAACTCTTAAAAAATGCCCAAAGACAAGTTGGGCATGACATCCATGTAAGGCGTATTTTAAGATAGTCTTTTTTGATAAATTCAATTCATGATTATTATAAATAAATAGATCATATAGAAAATGGATGGAAAATAAGTTAATTTTAGTATCATTACCAAAATATAGCCCTTGTTGATATTTTGCTATATTATCTATTATGATCTATTGTCTTTTTTTCTCTTATCCTTCAATTTCTTTTTTTTTTTTTTTTTAAACGGGACTGGGGATCAAACTAATGATCATGTGCTTGCAAGGCAGGCGCTTATGCCGCTGAGCTAAATCCCCATCCCTCCAATTTCATATTTTTGCATGTTTAAGAAATAAAATTGAGATCATACAATTTTGGGGAAGTTGGTTTTTAAACTGTTATTACTATGTTTTCTACATTTTTCATGTTATTAAATCTTTTTCTGAAAATGATTTTAAATGGCTGAACAGTTTGCTAGTATGTGGTTGCTAAAGTACAATATAAAAGATACTTAACATAATCAAAACTTGTATACTTCACATGTATTAATAACAAAAGGTAATACTGTACACAAATAGTCCCTTTATTTTGACATGATGGTTTCTGTCAGTTCAATTGAAAGTGAGAGACAAAAGTTAGTTATGAGCTTCAAATCATGCAACCAGTGGCCATATCTCATTTAATTCAATTGGAGTCCATTTTCACTTTACCTCAAAATACATTATTGTATTAAACAACAACAATAATAATGGACTAAATGATTTCCCCTTCTTCTTAACAAATATACTGTTTAAAAAAAAAAAAACTGGCTTTAAACCTTGTTTTTTCATTACCAAGCTCAAATCCAAAGCTTTGGTCAAGTACACTATCAAGTAAGCTACATCTCCAGCCCTTTTTCAGATTTTATTTTAGACATGTATAAATACCGTATAGTGTCCCTAGTTTAAGAAATGATAAGAGTACATAAGATGGGGCTGGGGGTTTAGCTCAAGGCATAAGCACCTGCCTTACAAGCAGGCAGTCATGAGTTCGATCCCTGGTACCGATAAAAAGGAAAACGACAAAAAAAAAAAAAAAAAAAATTTTTATGTACTCTTTTTTTTTTTGGTCTTTTTCCTTTTTATCGGTACCAGGGATCGAACTCAAGACTGCCTGCTTGTAAGGCAGGCGCTTATGCCGCTGAGCTAAATCCCCAGCCCCAAGAGTATGTAAGATTTTATGGTAATCATGATTCCCCATTACATTTCTTTGAAGCCTTATAATGTTTTCATTCATTATTTAGAATGGTTTTATTCTGTTTTGTTTGATTTTGTTATCCGTGATGGTATGAACAGCTATTTTTTTTCTGTTTTTAAAAATTTTATTTAAAAAAAGACAAAACAGAAAATAGGTAGAAATAATACATACGTTCAGAGAAAAAAATAAACAGAAATCACTAGTTGATGTTTACATATTGTCGTTTTACAAACAGATGTGCAGCGTACAAGAGTGGAACATGTAAAGTGGGAATTCAAATAGTGAGACTGCAAACATTAGTAACATGGTTGTCAATCCTACACTCTTAAACATACATGCAGTTATCCATATCTTCATTTATGTTTACATTAAACAAACTAAAGCAAGTTAAAATCATTCTGAACAAATAATGGTATTGCTAGATTTCACATCATGACACTCCGTGATCAGCACTGGGTACTGTAGTGTTTTTTTTTTTTTTTTTTTTTTTAATTTTTAAAGAAAAACTAAACAAAACAGAAAATGGGTAGAAATAATACATAATTTCAAAGAAAAAAATAAACAGTAAGAAATCACTAGTTGATGATTACAGGTTGTCTTCTTACAAATCGTTATTCAAGGTACTAAAGTGGAGCATATAAAGGGGAGATTCAGACAGTGAGATTGTGCCTAGTTCTGTTCAACTATCCAACAAAAACTTAGAAATATGGTTATCAGGGCTGGGGATTTAGCTCTGCGGCATAAGCACTGCCTTGCATGCAGGCGGCTGTGAGTTCAATCCCCGGCACCGATTAAAAAAATATATATATATGGTTATCAATCCTATACACTTAAACATACATGCAGTTAATTCATATCTTCAATTATGTTGAGATTGAATAAACCCAAGCAGGCTAATACACCCTGAACAAAGAATAATACTTTTGCTGGGTTTCACATTATGACACTCCAAGATCAGCACTGGATATTTTAGTGTCTCTTCAAAGTATCTGTTCATTTCATCATGTGTCATAAGATCATTTCTCGTAAACTGTTTATAGATTCTACACATGCATGAGTCTTAATTTGTATTTCTATCCTTTCTATATTAGAGGGAGAAACAAAACAATGCAAGGCAAAACAAAACATTTCTATAAACACATGAAATGAAAAAAACATATTAAGACCATTGTACAAAGAGTTCTACCATGGTTCCTGTGTTGTCTCTTGTTATCTCCAAAAGAATTGACTATATCATCAGACACAGTATAATTGAATATATCAGTACATAACAGTATTAATAAAAACACAACTTTGTATATACTATAGAACTTCAAAATCTGGCAGTTATCAAACTAGAATGTGTATCATAGAGTCTTGTCATTATCAGTTTAGTTGCCTATACTCTCTGACATGATACTATCAATCATATCAGTTTTGAATAAAATCTTCTCTGCTTCATTTTTGTATGTTCTTTTATTGCCATAAGTTGTCTGCTTATCTTTTTCATTCTGATTTTTGCTCCATTCATTGAGGCCTCTCTGCCACTGTTCATGGAATCCTAGTACTTTTCTCTCTCTCTAGAATGCCCTGCAGTATTCTTTGTAGAGTGGGATTGGTGGTCGTGAATTTCTCAATTTCCTCTTTGTCTTGGAAGCATTTTGTTTCTCCATTAATTTCTAGAGACAGTTTAGCAGAGTATATCA